ACTCACCTATGTTCTCGTCTGCATGTGCTTTCCGGGGGGATTAGTTCTAGCTCCTGGGCCTCGGCTGATGCTTTATTAATTCCACTTGATAAGTCATATGTACAGTCTAATATGTGTATAGGCTTCCACTCCTTCCTCTTGGTGTTCCATTTATTCTGTTGAAATATATGCCTATAATTCCCTGCCTTATTTACATATTCAGTTTCCACGTATTTTCTCTCCATTTGGTTACACCGCTGAAGAGCCTGTCCATTTGTACGGTGTTTGCAATCTTGAGTATCTTATATGCTGTGATTATGTCTCAACTGATATAATAGCTGATACTGCAAGGTATCATTTAATTCCAGTGATATTAGTCCTATATGATCGCATCCTGTTTTTATGATAATGCTAATTATTCTACTTAAGCCTTTTATAATTAAAAGCGCTTTCGTTTTGGGGATTAAATCAACAGTCGAAAGTAGAAATTGACGCTATCTTCTTGAGGTTATCTTGAGATGATTTCGAGGCTTTAGTGTCCCCGCGGCCCGGTCCTCGACCAGGCCTCTACCCCCAGGAAGCAGCCCGTGACAACTGACTAACACCCAGGTACCTATTTTACTGCTAGGTAACAGGGGCATAGGGTGAAAGAAACTCTGCCCATTGTTTCTCGCCGGCGCCTGGGATCGAACCCAGGACCACAGGATCACAAGTCCCGCGTGCTGTCCGCTCGGCCGACCGGCTCCGCTACCATAAAGCCTTGTAACAAATCCTTTAAGAATATTAAGAAATCAAAGAACTGCAAGAAGCTTCTTAAGTAGACAATTGCAAGCAAGGGAAAATAAATCAATATCCCCGTTGTTGATACCCATGGGCTTAGATCTGGCTCAAGAATGAGCTGCAGGAGCAGACGATAGTACTCTAAAACAAGGACCTCGGAGCAATTCCAAATGTTTTTCCTGGCATGTCGGACGAGGCCGCCCAACGTACAGGCAACGATACAGCTCTGTTAGAGTGAACCCTGGGCGTGGGACGGCGGAGGGTGACACAGACTACGCCTGAATGATTGAGGGCGGGAGGCGGGCCAAGCCCAGGGCCGCTCTTGTAGCAGCAGGGGCGGCCACCCTCGGGAACCCCTGTTTCTTAAAGGTATGCAGGCCGTGTCAAGTGATGGGTTATGCATCGCAAATGGACAAGACGCGGACCAGCGTGGTAACTCAACCACAAATCCCCTCCTACACACCTATAAGACTTGATTTTAGCAACCTAAACAAGGATTTGAACGCTGCCCTTGTAAGGCCAGTCCTGGACTATACACCTCAGAATGGAGCCCATAATTTGAGTACCAGGTAGTGGCTAAGGGACAGCTGAGGGTCCTAAAAGATTCTGAGAGACATATACAGAATTAAGATTGAAATCCCAAAGTGATGTATCTATGACAACATACTGGCGCTGTACGATGGACCATACACAGACACACGGCTCATCATGGCTCATCCGGCAGTGTGTGTGTGTACCGGGGGGATCTAAGGATATGGATTCAATCCTACCGTACGGGCCAAATATTTTCTCAGAGATGGACTGTATCAAGTAGGGGAAACAGAACGAGAAGACGTAAGTGGAAACAACGAGAAGAAACGGATGGAAACAAGAAATAGATGGAAACTGGAACATTCAGAATAAAGTGATGGTAGACACACATCTTCATAACCTCATAGTTACAAAAACAATAGAAATCAGCGAGTAAAGTTGTACTAGTGAGCAGAGACGAGTCCAAGAGTTATGTCTCCCTTGCTGTAAATAAATTAGATATTCGGCATTCATGCACATTTACCCGCACGTGTTCGAGTCCTCAGCAAGACGAGCAGGCGCGCATGAACGCAGGCGCGCATGAACGCATGAACGCAGGCGCGCATGAACGCAGGGGCGCATGAACGCAGGCGCGCATGAACGCAGGGGCGCATAAGGAGTTAGGATGGGACGGGGAGGGGAAGGGATGGTGAACGGTCGGGGGATTGAACGCCGACCTGTATGAAGCTAGACCGTCGCTCTACCGTCCAGCCCAAGTGGTTGGACAGTACGTAGTGGAGACAGACCTCATACATGAGAGCAGCAGTAAATACGATAGTATCAAAGGTTTAAGTAGTTGGACGTATGTCTGACGATTAAAGAGACGAGAACCAAGAGCTAAGGCTCGGCCCAAATAATTATAGGCATGTAGGTATATATAGATGAGAGCACACACACACACACACACACACACACACACACACACACACACACACACACACACACACACACACACACACACACACACACACACACACACGCACACACACACACACACACACACACACACACACACACACACACACACACACACACACACACACACACACACACACACACACACACACACACACACACACTAGGGTTAAAGGGCCAGAGAGCTCTAGAAAAACAAATAAATTGAAAAAGGAAACAATAAAAAATAGCGAAGCTTCAAAAAAGTGAAACAGCAGAAACACGTGTCACACATGTTGGTCTGAGTTGCTACAGGTGTCCAAGTGGGTAGAGGAGGCAGGAGGAGCAGGAGGAGGAGACTTAAGGTGAATGGAGGTGGCTACAGGTGAGTGAATATGGCTTGAGGAGACTGGTGGTGGGAAGAGATGGGTGGAAGTGGGTAGAGGTGGTTGACAATCCATCTAGCTCGTAACAGCATGCAGCACCTCACCTAGTTCCCTTCCCCCTAACTCCTTCCTGCCTAGCTCCTTCGCTCCTAGCACCACCCCTCCTAGCAGCACAAAACCTCTTAAAACGATTTTCCTGCACCCCCTCTTCCCAGCACTTGGAACTTTGCCTCAATGCCAAGCCATTTGCATCCATATAGAGTGGCACTGATGTCATTACCCAGAGTGCCCCCTGCTAGTGCCAGGGCCAGAGGTGCGGCTCGCAGCCCTATACGTGCTGGCTACTTCCACTTAATACCTCAGGTTATGAAGTGAAAGAATAGTATAGGAGCATAAGGGTATGTAGCGCTGGGTGCAAGGTTGTGTTCGCTCGAGAGAGGGGCTCGTGTTCGCTCGAGAGAGGGTTGGGTCCGTTCGAGATGGGCTCGTGTTCGCTGGAGAGAGGGTTGTGTCCGCTTGAGAAAGGGTTATGTCCACTCGAGAGAGGGTTGTGTTCGCTCGAGAGAGAGGCTCGTGTCCGTTCGAGAGAGGGTTGGGCCTCTCCCTTTCCAACTGTAACGTAGCTGTTTTTCCTATATATGAGCAATCTAAGACAGCTTTACCTTGTTCCTCTGTTCATCTCGTGACCAATAAATAACATGTGACTGAAATAACATGACGTGATACAGAAATAACATGGCGCTGCCAAACGCACAAAGTCACCAGCTTCAAGGAGTTGCAGTCACAAAAAAAATATTACAAGCGATTTTGCAATGAATCCCTGGCTTAAAAAGTCAATTTGCAGAGTTCTATAACAGGACCAGTGCTCAATAGGACCCCTTGCTGCGTTCACTGATGGCAACTGAACTCTCACTTAGGAATGGAAACCATCGTCAAATATTGAAAATATCCTAGAATACATTTACAGTATCCTGGAATGTATTTTAAACACTGGAATATTTTTAAAGTATCATGGAATTTTTGGTAATACTGTTGAATATATTTAAAATATCCTGGAATATATTTAAAGTAACCTGGGATATAGTTACAATATCCTACAATATATGTAAAATATTCTGGAATATATTTGAAGAATATATTCTTCAAATATATTCCCCTTCATTGTTCTGGGGAAGGAAATCGATGTTTGGAAATTCGCTTGTGAGGTCGTGTTTGTTAACATGTGTGGACTATTGTAACTAGTTGGAATGTGTAGTGACCTTGTATGTACTCACCTAGATGTCCTTGGAAGGTGTAGCGTCAGCTCCAAATCTCCGCCTTTCAAACATTATTATGTTTTATCTTATTTTCCTACGGCCAAATAGTTCTCTTATCACATACGTGCAAGAAACAGGCTATTGGGAACTATAGATTTTTTGTTAGGTATGTATGTTATCACATGTGTATTTTGACAAATATGATATCAGATGTGTATGTTATCACATGTGTATTTTGACAAATATGATATCAGATGTGTATGTTATCACATGTGTATTTTGACAAGTATGTTGTCAGGTGTGCATGTTATCACGTGTGTATTTTGTCAAGCGTGTTTTTCAGGTGTGTATGGTATTACGTGTATATGTGAGCGTGTACATGCTTGTCAGGTGTATTTACCTAGAGAGTGGTGTGCATGTGGTCGGATGTGCATATGTCAATAGGTATATATATAATGTGTATATCCTTAGTTTTTCAGATATGTGTAAATATATACCTGATATCTCATAAAATGTGTTTCCGAACGCCTCATGCAACATTCTAATATACTTTTTTTTAATTAATAATAGTAATAAGAACCAATGACAGACTTATAATTTCGAAACAGGCGACAGAGTACATAAAAAAAATTAATTGCTTCTATAATTCTCTGTAATTACATTCCATTAATTATTGTTTGTTGAAGGTAATATTAATAATTAGAGATAATACAGACATTTGTATTAAATACACGCTCTAATACCGAGATAAAAAATGCTAATTATACTGCGATGGTTTTATTAATGCGTGTTATTTAGCAGAATGGAATTTGGATGTGAAAGTCTCCGCTTAATTATGGCCCGGGTAGAATACGTTTTTTGTTGATGCTCTTCCTCTTTTGTTCACGTGTTATTCTTTTTCCTCTCTCCCTCCTGTTCCTCGCTGTTTGTACCTGTTCACCTACCCGGTGCGTCTGTTCACCCACCCGGTGCGTTTGTTCATCCACCTGGTGTTTCTGTTCACCCACCTCCGCTCCTGTTCAATTGTTTCAACTTTATAATTTATTTTGTTCACTTTCACACACTTCTGTCTATAAATATCAACGTTCAACGCACCCATCTGCGTTCAACGCTGCCCCTTCATGTAATTCAGGTCATGGTGATTGTGATTTTGCTTGTTGCTATTGATGATTTTGTGGTTATTGATGCTTTTGTTGTGGTTATTGATGCTTTTGTTGTGGTTATTGATGATTTTGTTGTGGTTATTGATGCTTTTGTTGTGGTTATTGATGCTTTTGTTGTGGTTATTGATGATTTTGTTGTGGTTATTGATGCTTTTGTTGTGGTTATTGATGCTTTTGTTGTGGTTATTGATGCTTTTGTTGTGGTTATTGATGATTTTGTTGTGGTTATTGATGCTTTTGTTGTGGTTATTGATGATTTTGTTGTGGTTATTGATGCTTTTGTTGTGGTTATTGATGCTTTTGTTGTGGTTATTGATGCTTTTGTTGTGGTTATTGATGATTTTGTTGTGGTTATTGATGATTTTGTTGTGGTTATTGATGATTTTGTTGTGGTTATTGATGATTTTGTTGTGATTATTGATGATTTTGTTGTGGTTATTGATGATTTTGTTGTGTTATTGATGATTTTGTTGTGTTATTGATGATTTTGTGTGGTTTAAGAGGCAGTGTGGCGCTCACCACAGTGCACAGAGCAGCCACTTATCCTCATAATTTCACAAGCGTCCAACAGCAGCAGCAGCAGCAGCAGCAGCAGCAGCAGCAGCAGCAGCAGCAGCAGTAATATAATCAGCAAACGACAACTGCAGTCATCAGTATTCATCGTACTAGCTGCATCAATCGCTACTCAAACCATTTACAATACGAGCCACTAATTACATTCCAGATTACATGACTAAACATACCAGGCGTAGTGGAACAGGCCGCCCCAGCCCCCTGCATTATCGAGAGGGAAAGGGGGAGGGATGGAAGGGGAGCGACAGGGCTAGGGGATGCCTGATCAAACAAGGGGAAGGCTAGTACCTCCAGCCTTCCCCCTTGGCTAGAGATACTAAGGGACAGAGATACTAGGGGAACAAGGCGCTGTAAAACTTAGAGGTACAAAGTTTTATAGCGTTGATATCAAAGTTGATAAATATCAAAGTTGTAAATATCAAAGATATTTACAAAGTTGATATCAAATGGCCACTCGGCATTTGATATGAACTTGTATTGCGGTCATTATGTTGCTTCATAATACAGTATATATTTATTGGTATTGCTTGTTGTTTTCGCAGCCCGGAAGGCATTATTTTTTTTGTGCGAAGTAAATTCTCGCCTGTTTCCATTAGGTAATCGAGAACATGTTGGATTCAATAATGTTTTACACGAATCTTTCGTCTCTCACTGCGAGTTTGTTTCTGTTTCTCTAGCGAGAGAGAGAGAGAGAGAGAGAGAGAGAGAGAGAGAGAGAGAGAGAGAGAGAGAGAGAGAGAGAGAGAGAGAGAGAGAGAGAGAGAGAGAGAGAGAGAGAGAGAGAGAGAAGAGCAAGGGAGAGAGAAGAGAAAAGAAGACAAGAGAAAGGAAGAGAAGAGAAAATAAGAAAAGAGAGAAGAGAAGAGAAGGTGCGGGGGTGGGGGGTAAGGAATGGTAAAGATCTAGATAAGAAAAACACATTAGAATTAAATGTCCCACAAGCACCCACCGACCAATGAACCAGCAACACCAAGCTGGACGAGGCCTGATACAGTACAAGGACCAACCATCGTGTTACTAGGTACCAACACACACAAAACTAGTTGAGAGGCGGGACCAAAGAGCCAGAGCTCAACCCCCGCAAATACAACTAGGTGAGTACACACACACACACACACAAACTGCTCTTCCTGCTCACTATACCTTTCAGTCACGGCTAGCATTCATCAAGAATTTACGTGACCACTTTACGAAACCAGTACATCTATCCTTGATCACGGCGGCTTATTCTGTAGTTATTAAACAGTTTACGAGCTTGGAAACTTCACAATCCGAGGTTCTTATTGGCAGATACAACCTCGTAGTCCTTAACGTCAAGTGGCGTAGGTAGTGGCTTCACCCTTCAACTGTTGAACATATGTATCTGATAAAGTATGTATTACTAATGTAATGTGGTGTATATGATAGGTGGTGTGAGGCATGAACTGGTGGGTGATGAGATACTGGAGGCTGACTCCACTCACAGAGTCTACAGTAAGGACTCGTTCTCTAACCTCATTGGTTCTCTAGTATGTCAATATACTTAAGAGAGCGTAAAGCCACTGTGATTATAGACCACTTGGAAGGGATATGAGGACCAGGAGCTGGGGTATGAGGAATGTACGAAGAAACAGTACCCAACCTCTTGGACCATCAGGGATCGAACATCGACCCAGCGGGGAGCGAGGCCTCCACTCTACCGATAAACCCAAGGGTCTCGCAAGGGCCAATAGGCCGCCTGTAGTTTAATTTTTGCTTCATATATATATATATATATATATATATATATATATATAACTGAAAACTCACACCCCAGAATGTCCTGGGGACCATTCAGGCTTGTTCACATATATATATATATATATATATATATATATATATATATATATATATATATATATATATATATATATATATATATATATATATATATATATATATATATATTAGTATATTTTGGTAGCAGTCTTTCTGGGTAGGGGAAATAAGACTAGAAATAAAAATGAATTTTGGAGAATTGATTTTTGAATTACCTCCAACAGTGAAAAGAAATGTACGAAAGATTGAGAAAATTCGTGTTAGAATTATTAATCTTACTTTTTCGGTCATATTTAATAATATATATATATATTACCTCTCTATCCCTACCTCTCTACGAGCTTTCGCCCGTTTCCCTCCCTCCCTACACAACCCATCCCCACTCCCCCCCCCCCCAGGCAGCCCATCCCCACTCCTCCCCCCCCACACAGCCCATCCCCACTCCCCCCTCCTAACCCTTTCTGACCAGACCGCCCGCTCCACCATTCACCTCAACCTATTCCCTACGATACTCCTGTCTCCGCCCGCGAAAAAAGTATTTGATAGCAAAAGTTTCTAATAAGTTTTGACAACTTTTATACTTTGAGAATTGCTACCGATAGTGATATGGTGGTAGAGTGGAGACAGTCTCTTGCCTCCAGTATTATTTAAAATCAATTTCTTCATTTTTAAAAATAGATTTGTTAGGTATTATTTTCTCATTCTTAAGTGGGTTTTGTTTATTTTTTCTTAATTAGTTGATTCTGTGCTTATATGTTGCCTATACAGCACTTGGCGAACATATGAGAAAAGACATGATCTTACAGAACACACTCACAGGGGCACACACTCACAGAACACACCCACAGGGGCACACACTCACAGAACACACCCACAGGGGCACACACTCACAGAACACACCCACAGGGGCACACACTCACAGGGGCACACACTCACAGAACACACTCACAGGGGCACACACTCACAGAACACAACCACAGGGGCACACACTCACAGGGGCACACACTCACAGAGAACATGACTTCTCAACACTCAGATCTTCAAGAGCTCATCAACCACGCACATAATGACCCTGACTGAGCATGTTCGAGCCTCACCGTCGACTACTCCCATAAGGACCGCATCAGTCCGGTGAAAAACACATCTCCAGCGAGAAACTTAGACACGTTCCTGCAGCAAGAAGCGCCGGATCAACCGGGTTGTTGTAGTGGGTATGTGGGCCTGCGGGCCGTTCCAAGCAACAGCCTGTTGGACCAAGTTATCGCAAGTCGTGTCAGGCCAGGCATTGGGGAGTATAAGAACTCTCAGAACTCACTCGAGGTATTCTCCAGGTATACTCCAGAATATGCATAATCCTGGTATGCTCCAGGCATACTTCTAGTATAATAAACTTAAAGGTTATTGACATTAAATAATAAAACACTGAAAGTATACAGAGAACTATTCGCAATAACGGGGCTGAGGACAAGACAAAAACAACAACAACAACAACAGAGCCAGACAACAACAACAACAACAATAACAGAGCCAGACAACAACAACAACAACAACAACAGAGCCAGACAACAACAACAACAACAACAACAGAGCCAGACAACAAGACAACAACAACAACAACAACAGAGCCAGACAACAACAACAACAACAACAACAACAATAGAGCCAGACAACAACAACAACAACAGAGCCAGACAACAAGACAACAACAACAACAGAGCCAGACAACAAGACAACAACAACAACAGAGCCAGACAGCAAGACAAAAACAACAACAACAGAGCCAGACAACAAGACAACAACAACAACAACAACAGAGCCAGACAACAAGACAACAACAACAACAGAGCCAGACAACAACAACAACAACAACAACAACAACAGAGCCAGACAACAACAACAACAACAATAGAGCCAGACAACAACAATAGAGCCAGACAACAACAACAACAACAACAGAGCCAGACAACAAGACAACAACAACAACAACAACAGAGCCAGAGTCACTAAGCTCTATCCTATGATTGGTGCTCTTGGTAATATTCACAGATTTCGTGATTTGGTGAAATTGTAAACAGCGTCTGTCTGACGTCAGCTGATGTCGGTCCTCCTCTGTTGCTAGGCGTCTCCCGCGGTCCCTCAGCTTCCCCTTATCTTCTCCCCCTCGACCTTTCTTCCTTTTCCATGACCCTTTTCTTCTCTCACTTTGCTCCTTCTCCTTTTATCAATTCATGCTCTACCTTCACTTGCTTTTACTGTTTACCTTCTTTTTAATCTTTATTAATTCCTCCTGTTGTGCAGCATTAGTTTTTATTGTTCGTTCTCGTCTATTCTTACTCCCCTTTTCATTCCCTTTCCATTTTCTTTATCTGTACACCCTTTTCCTTTCATTATCCATACTCCTTTACATTCTTCTACAGCCACCAGCATGCGTGGCGTTTCGGGCAGGTCCTTAATCCTAATTTTTCCCCGGAATACGACCCGCCAAATTGTTTAACAACCAGGTACCCATTCACTGCTGGGTGAACAGAGGCTACAGTTAAGAAGTGGCGCCCAGTCAATCCTCCCCGGCCAGGATACGAACCCAGGCCAAAGCGCATTCAAAGCGCCAGGCAAGTGGTTTACCACTACGCCACGGGGACTACAATTCCCTTTCTTAACCGATATTCTCCTCTACAGTAAACAGCCCCGCTCCTGTGCCAGGTAAGTCCGCTACGGGCTCACCATAGCCCGTGCTACTTGCCGCTCCTGTGCCAGGTAAGTCCACTACGGGCTCACCATAGCCCGTGCTACTTGCCGCTCCTGTGCCAGGTAAGTCCACTACGGGCTCACCATAGCCCGTGCTACTTGCCCCGCTCCTGTGCCAGGTAAGTCCGCTACGGGCTCACCATAGCCCGTGCTACTTGGAACTTGTTGTTCCGGGTAGCTGAATCTACAACAAAAATAATGAGGGATATGTTACAAGCATGATATGAATGAGGGCTGAGGAATATGAATGAGAGCTGAGAGGCATGAATGAGGAACAGATACAAGTATAGGAAAAATGCCTTGCGCAAGAAGCCTACATATTCATCAACTTAACATTAGCTTCACGTACCATCATTACCAGAATTAA